CTCAGACCTATATATCTGTATAATACAATTATGAGTGGAGATGTATGTGATAGTATTTTAGCATGATCTCATTCCCACTCCCAACAACAGAGTAACACAGCCACGAACGAGAAGGCTCAGATGACTATAGTTGAAAGTCAAACACATGTAGTTTTATAATAGAAAAAACATGAATTACCAAACCAAAGGCAATTACAGGTTCCTAAAATGCTGTTCTAAAACCTGCTCCAAGCATACTGTGCTCTAACCACTGAGCTACAGGACTCCACACTATAACCGTGGATGGTAACCATATGCAATTTCATTCAGAATACTTCTTACTCCTGTATCTTTGAATCTGCATATATTCCAGTTGAAGATGTCACTTGTTAGCTACTTCCCAGGTTACACCACATCCTGAAGGCATAAATCTATATGAAATAACTAAGCATGATAAGTTGCAGTTCTGATCCTTATGTCACCTTGAATTTATATTAAATAACAATAAGTTACAGTCAGATGATTCTACTATTGGATTAATAGGGATATACCTATCATAAAAAAATCTATGGTCATTTCTTTCTTTTCCCTACACATCTCTCTCATAATAGAAGAGGAATAGAGAAACCCATCAAACAAATGCAGAAATATTTAGTGCAGCAAATTAACTCTTCTGGGGCAGTAATTATCAGCCACTGAAAATCATTATTGAATGTTCTTATGCAGAGGAAAAAGAATTACTGGGGAAGTTAAATGCATTAACCTCTGGGATTAAACAAAATTAAAACTAATAGGATGAGAGCCTCCTTTCAGATAACTGCAAATTCAAAGTCTCAGTCCAACTTTTGTGGGCAGATCAACCAACCTCCTTGGATTGTAATGTCCCACAATCTAAAACAAATTAGGGATGGAAATTTTGAGATTGAATTTAAGGTCAAATGTTACCAGAATTCCTCTGTCTTGCTCCCTCTCCACCTTAGGAACATAGAAACTTTACAGTATAAGAATATAAGAATATACTGTAAAGTGAATTGACTGTACATTTGTGGGCGAAACACGGCAGCCAATTGCACACAACAGTGTCCCACAAACAGTCATGGATTAAAGTAACCAATTTTATTTATTTTTCCTTGAGGTTTTATTATCAGGCATGTGGAGTAAGGAAACTTGCCTAAGGTTTCACCCTGTTGGGAATCAAACCCAGGTCTCTCACTTGCAGGGCGAGTGCTCTAACCACTATGCCTACAGGGCTCCACTGAGCTACATGAATCCTAATAATATCAGGTTTGTTAGCAGAAGAGATAGAGGTGAGGTTAGAAGGAATTTCTTCAACCAGAAGATTGTTTGGATGTGAAATTAATTACAAATGGCTATTGAGACTGAACCAATAAAATCATTCACAAGAGAACTGGAGAGGCACCCGATAAGTTAAAAACTTTAAGGGTATTAGATAAAGAGTTGGAAAGTGAGATTATTGAAAGGAGCAATTTAAAGAAACAAAGGCAGAAAAGGTTCTGACACTTCTGAAAATGTCTGTTTTCACTTTGGGATGTCCTCCTGATGTGAAAGGGCTATTTAAGTGTAAATAGTATTGTTTCTGTATGTTTTTACATTTATTTACTGTACATCAAACATGTGATATTGCTACATTATCACTATTCTCTCTACTGGTTCTCATAAAAAAATTCCTAACCCTTTTGAGACTAACCTCTACTGCACTCTCTCTCCCCCACTGGAGTGTCTCTACCTCCCCGAGTCTCTCCCAACCCTTTGAGATTGTCATGATAGGGAATAGCAAGAAAATGGAGATGTGTTAGCATCATGACGGCTGCCACTTCTTTACATGCTCAGTCTAGAACGTCTATTTTTACAACACTGACATTTTCCGTCACATGTCTGTGCAGCTGAAGAGCTACAGACAAGATTTCTCGGTTCTAAAAATAAATATTTGACCCTCAAAGAATGTTACGTTGTTTAGGTTCAGTGGCCTCATTCGTAGGACTTTTTCAGCCAATGAGAACACAAAGAAGAGTGAATAAACTGTTTGGTATTAGTGCCAAAAGTTATTTCTATAATAATCCTTAATTTGATTCATCACTGATAATGCTAAAATGTCTCAAAGCATTTAAAGGGTATTTGCTTTCAAGTTTAGCAACTGTATTCGTAGGTAAATGTACTTTATCAGACTTTTATCACTGGATTAAAAGGCTCCTTGTATTTTACAAGCTGCTCCCTATAAAGTATTTTTTGTTACAATTACTTATTTTTGTCACTTATTTTGTCACTAATTAACTTAACCGTGACATGTTTTAACCTAAATTAAGTTTGTGGTTTATATACAGAAGTTGCAGTAACAATAAATAATCCTTGTATTTGAGTATCGACATGTGCTACCTACTAAATAAATTGCATTTCTTCTTTCTTTAACCAAAGTGGTACGGTGATTAAGCATAAATTCCTGCTTAATCACAGAATAACCTCAAAAACTGGGACAAATCACAAACCCAATTTAAATAAGGTGAGGCCACCAAAGGAAGTGATTTCTCATTGCTTTGGATCATACTACAGTAAAATTCACAAAAGTTGTATCAGTTGGAACCATAACTTTTAATATGACTTATGTGAAGTCTTCCTGACATGAAAGGTGCTATATAAATGCAATTTGTTGTTGTAATTTCCTCACCTCCGTAACATCGCCCGACTCCGCCACTACCTCACTCTTCAGGCCACTGAAACTTTTGTTCATGCTTTCATCACCTCCAAGCTCGACTATGCAAGCGCTCTGCTTGTCGTCCTTCCCAACTCCTCCCTCCACAGGCTGCAGATAATCCAGAGCTCTGCAGCCCGTGTCCTCTCCCGCACCAAACTCCGTGACACCATCTCCCCCACTCTCGCCCAAGTCCATTGGCTCCCTATCCTTCAGAGGATCCAGTTCAAGATCCTGGTCCTCACCTACAAAGCCCTCCGTGGCTTCGCCCCACCCTACCTCTGCGATCTCCTGCCCCCCTACCAACCCGCCCGCTCCCTCCGCTCAGCCGGCTCTGGTCTGCTCCAGGTCCCCCGACCCACCCATCCAGTGCCTTCAGTCACTCTGCCCCAACCTGTGGAATTCCATCCCCCAGTGACTCTGTCTCACCCCCTCCTTAGTCTCCTTCAAGTCCCGCCTCAAGACCCTCCTCTTCGACCATGCCACCGGTCATTCCCCCTTCCCCTCCTCCCTCCCGACCCCAGCTCGGGTCTGAAATGCTGTACACTGTCCAGCGCCTTGGGACGTCCTCCCGACGTGAAAGGCTCTATACAAATGTCATCTTGTTGTTGTTGTTATTATGGGAATGTCCATCCATGCAATAACAAAGGAAAGGATGAACAGATGGTAACCACTTCCTGTAATGAAAGGATGACAAAGTTGGGTCTTGCCTCGGTGTAAGTTGACCTGACTCCGGTAAGTAAAGGAAGGCAGATCCCTCTCTGGGAGTATGCTGCATTGTTTCACTTCGGATGAGACGTTAAAAGCCAAGGTCTCATCTGCCTGTTCAGGTGGACATTAAAGATCCCATGGTACTATTGGATAAGAGATGGGGTGTTTCTCCCTGTGCCCTGGCTAACCATCCCTCAAATAAAACTACTCAATCACGGCTGTTTATGGCGTCGTGGAGTCCTGTGGCTCAGTGGTTAGAGCACTCACTTTGCAAGCGAGAGACCTGAGTTCAATTCCAGGCAGAGGGCGAAACCTTGGGCAAGTTTCCTTACTCCACACAGAGCCTAATAATAATCCCTCCAAAACCAAAAACAATAATAAATTGGTCATTTTCAATCTACGACTGTTTGTGGGACATTGCTGTGCGCAATTGGCTGCCGTGTTCGCCCACAGATATACAACAACAACAACAACAAGATTCCATTTATAAAGCGCCTTTCACGTCAGGAGGACGTCCCAAGGCGCTGCACAGTTGGGTCATGACCCGAGCAGGGGGGAAATGGTCAGGGTGAGGGGAGGGAAGGGAGCAAGGAGGGGGGAAATGTTCAGGATGAGGGGAGGGAAGGGAGGGAGCGAGGAGGGGGTAGAGAGTCGAGAGGGGAGCTGAAGGCACGGTCAAAGAGAAAGGTTTTGAGACCGGCCTTGAAGGAGGAAAGGGAGGAGGCGGCGAAGGCACTGGGGGATGGAGTTCCAGAGCCTCGGCTGAAGGCCGACCACTGACGGTAGGGCAGTTGGGGCGGGGGACGTGGAGCAGACCGGAGCCGGAGGAATGGAGGGTACGGGCAGGTAGGTAGGGGGATAGTAGGTTGGAGAGGTAGGAGGGAGCGAGGCCGTGAATGGCCTTGTAGGTGAGGATGAGGATCTTGAAATCATCCTCTGGGGGATGGGGAGCCAGTGGAGGCGAGCGAGGGTGGGAGTGATGTGGTCGCGAAGCCTGGTGTGGGACAGTACACGAGCTGCAGAGTTCTGAATGACCTGCAGTGTGGAGGGAGGTGGCGGGAAGGCCGGCGAGGAGAGAGTTCCCATAGTCCAGCCTTGAGGTGATAAAGGCGTGGACCAGAGTTTCAGCAGCGTGAGGGGTGAGGTAATGCCGTAGTCTGGCGGTCAATTCACTTTACAGTGTGTTCTGTGAAGCGCTTTGGGACGTCCTCCCGACGTGAAAAGCGCTGGAAATACATCTTGGAAAAAAAATTAAATGACACCCACGAAACTAAGGACAAAGGTCACTCACACACACACACAATAAAATGACACGTCCACCCAAAAAAAAAGCAGCGGATCCCCTCTCGCGCAGGGAAGGAGCTGCTGCCATTCGCCCACCGGCGGGACGGATGACGTACGGCGGGCCGATTGGTCAGCTCGGCCGTCAATCATCCAGAGTCCCAGGCCACAGGCGCGCGCGCGCCTGTCCGTCATTCTGGCCTCAGCCAATCGCACGACGTATCGCCCACACGCCTCTCCTCCGCCCCGCCCCAAAGGCTCGCGGAACTGAAAGGAGGGCGGGGGGGAGGGGGGAGGGGCAACGGCCGTTAACGGTCGGGGCGGTGGGGAGTGGGCGGGCGGTGGGAGCTCGAGAGGTGGGCGGCTGTTTGCTCGGTGACGCGGCGCTTGTTAACGCGTCCCTCTCGACGCGGGTGTAAGTGTACAGCGCTGTGGACGAGGCCGTTGCTGGTTGCAGCCCTTCCTCCACCCGACCGGGCAAGTAAGGACGTGGAGGGTAATGAGTGTATCGGGGGAGGGAGGGAGGCCCGAGAAGGGGAGGCCGCTGTGGTGGGGGCGGGGGCAGGAGCTGCGGTGTTGATGTTTTACAAGTGCCAGTGGTTTGGGTGACAACCTGTCGGTTTGCGACAAAAACAAATCTTTTCGTCCCTCCTTCCCTCCCTCCCTCCCTCCCTCCTTCCTTCCCTCCCTCCTTCCCTCCTTCCTTCCCTCCATTGAAATTCAAGCCAATACACTAATGAACGCGATAGGAAGCCCGCGAGGGGGATTCGTGATTTCCCCGCGTGGGGAAAAGCGATAGGGGTCATCTTATAGGGGAGAGGTGGGGTTTGGGGGAGTTGGCACACAGGGGGATTGCAGTGGTGATAAGAGGGTATCCAGAGCGGAGCTGGTAAAGAGGGTATCACCTGCTGTACAGGGTACCCATGGGGGAGCTGGTTTAGAGGGTACCCATGGGGGAAGCTGGTTTAGAGGGTATCCATGGGGGCAGCTGGTTTAGAGGGTATCCATGGGGGGAGCTGGTAAAGAGGGTATCCATGGGGGGAGCTGGTTTGGAGGGTATCCATGGGGGGAGCTGGTTTGGAGGGTACCCATGGGGGAAGCTGGTTTAGAGGGTATCCATGGGGGGAGCTGGTTTGGAGGGTACCCATGGGGGGAGCTGGTTTAGAGGGTATCCATGGGGGGAGCTGGTTTGGAGGGTATCCATGGGGGGAGCTGGTTTAGAGGGTATCCATGGGGGGAGCTGGTTTGGAGGGTATCCATGGGGGGAGCTGGTTTGGAGGGTACCATGGGGGAGCTGGTTTGGAGGGTATCCATGGGGGGAGCTGGTTTAGAGGGTATCCATAGGGGGAGCTGGTTTGGAGGGTATCCATGGGGGGAGCTGGTTTAGAGGGTACCCATGGGGGGAGCTGGTTTAGAGGGTATCCATGGGGGGAGCTGGTTTAGAGGGAATCCATGGGGGGAGCTGGTTCAGAGGGTACCCATGGGGGGAGCTGGTTTAGAGGGTATCCATGGGGGAGCTGGTTTAGAGGGTATCCATGGGGGCAGCTGGTTCAGAGGGTACCCATGGGTGGAGCTGGTTTAGAGGGTATCCATGGGGGGAGCTGGTTTAGAGGGTATCCATGGGGGCAGCTGGTTCAGAGGGTACCCATGGGGGGAGCTGGTTTAGAGGGTACCCATGGGGGGAGCTGGTTTAGAGGGTATCCATAGGGGGAGCTGGTTTAGAGGGTATCCATGGGGGGAGCTGGTTTGGAGGGTATCCATGGGGGGAGCTGGTTTGGAGGGTATCCATGGGGGGAGCTGGTTTGGAGGGTATCCATAGGGGGAGCTGGTTTCGAGGGTATCCATGGGGGGAGCTGGTTTAGAGGGTACCCATGGGGGGAGCTGGTTTAGAGGGTATCCATGGGGGGAGCTGGTTTAGAGGGAATCCATGGGGGCAGCTGGTTCAGAGGGTACCCATGGGGGGAGCTGGTTTAGAGGGTATCCATAGGGGGAGCTGGTTTAGAGGGTATCCATGGGGGCAGCTGGTTCAGAGGGTACCCATGGGGGGGAGCTGGTTTAGAGGGTATCCATGGGGGGAGCTGGTTTAGAGGGTATCCATGGGGGCAGCTGGTTCAGAGGGTACCCATGGGGGGAGCTGGTTTAGAGGGTATCCATGGGGGAAGCTGGTTTAGAGGGTATCCATGGGGGCAGCTGATTTAGAGGGTACCCATGGGTGGAGCTGGTTTAGAGGGTATCCATGGGGGGAGCTGGTTTAGAGGGTATCCATGGGGGCAGCTGGTTCAGAGGGTACCCATGGGGGGAGCTGGTTTAGAGGGTATCCATAGGGGGAGCTGGTTTAGAGAGTATCCATGGGGGAGCTGGTTTGGAGGGTATCCATGGGGGGAGCTGGTTTGGAGGGTACCCATGGGGGGAGCTGGTTTAGAGGGTATCCATAGTGGGAGCTGGTTTGCAGGGTATCCATGGGGGGAGCTGGTTTGCAGGGTATCCATGGGGGGAGCTGGTTTGGAGGGTATCCATGGGGGGAGCTGGTTTAGAGGGTATCCATGGGTGGAGCTGGTTTAGAGGGTATCCATGGGGGGAGCTGGTTTAGAGGGTATCCATGGGGGCAGCTGGTTCAGAGGGTACCCATGGGTGGAGCTGGTTTAGAGGGTATCCATGGGGGGAGCTGGTTTAGAGGGTATCCATGGGGGCAGCTGGTTCAGAGGGTACCCATGGGGGGAGCTGGTTTAGAGGGTATCCATGGGGGAAGCTGGTTCAGAGGGTATCCATGGGGGCAGCTGGTTTAGAGGGTACCCATGGGTGGAGCTGGTTTAGAGGGTATCCATGGGGGGAGCTGGTTTAGAGGGTATCCATGGGGGCAGCTGGTTCAGAGGGTACCCATGGGTGGAGCTGGTTTAGAGGGTATCCATGGGGGGAGCTGGTTTAGAGGGTATCCATGGGGGCAGCTGGTTCAGAGGGTACCCATGGGGGGAGCTGGTTTAGAGGGTATCCATGGGGGCAGCTGGTTTAGAGGGTACCCATGGGTGGAGCTGGTTTAGAGGGTACCCATGGGTGGAGCTGGTTTAGAGGGTATCCATGGGGGAGCTGGTTTAGAGGGTATCCATGGGGGCAGCTGGTTCAGAGGGTACCCATGGGGGGAGCTGGTTTAGAGGGTATCCATGGGGGCAGCTGGTTTAGAGGGTACCCATGGGTGGAGCTGGTTTAGAGGGTATCCATGGGGGGAGCTGGTTTAGAGGGTACCCATGGGGGGAGCTGGTTTAATAATAATAATAATAATAATCCTTGCATTTGATATAGCGCTTTTCACGTCGGGAGGACGTCCCAAAGCGCTTCACAGAACACACTGTAAAGTGAATTGACTGTATATTTGTGGGCGAACGCGGCAGCCAATTGCGCACAGCAATGTCCCACAAACAGTCGTAGATTGAAAATGACCAATTTATTATTGTTTTTTGTTTTGGAGGGATTATTATTAGGCGTGTGGAGTAAGGAAACTTGCCCAAGGTTTCGCCCTCTGCCTGGAATTGAACTCAGGTCTCTCACTTGCAAAGCGAGTGCTCTAACCACTGAGCCACAGGACTCCACAAAGGGTTTAGAGGGTATCCATGGGGGCAGCTGGTTCAGAGGGTACCCATGGGGGGGAGGTGGTTTAGAGGGTATCCATAGGGGGAGCTGGTTTAGAGAGTATCCATGGGGGGAGCTGGTTTGGAGGGTATCCATGGGGGGAGCTGGTTTGGAGGGTATCCATGGGGGGAGCTGGTTTAGAGGGTACCCATAGGTGGAGCTGGTTTAGAGGGTACCAATGGGGGGAGCTGGTAAAGAGGGTATCGGGAGCTGGTAAAGAGTGTATGGGGGGGAGGCTGCTAAAGAAGGTATCCAGGGGGCAGCTGGTTAAGAGGATATCCCACACTGGCGTTACTGTATGTGTCCCTGCCCCCTGCTGTGGTGCGTGCGTGCATGTGTGTGTGTCCCTATCCCCTGCCCTGGCGTGCGTGTGTGTGCCACCCTTCGCAATGTACTGTTACTACAGGAAAATTGATTTTTATATATATCTATTCTGTTTTTTTTCTAATATTTTTGGAGAGGAAGAGAATGGGGTGGGGGGAGGGTAACGCCATTAAATTTAGCATGATCCCCACAGCATAGTGGTTGGAGCACTCGCCTTGCGAGCGAGAGGACCCGAGTTCGATTCCCCTGGCTGGCCAGGGCAAAACCTTAGACAAGTTTCCTTGCTCCACACACACCTCTGTTTACCTCGCAGTAAGTAGTCGATTGGTGGATTGCTTTTCCCAGGGGTAATCCCTTTTAAAAAATAATTTGGTCAGGCTGCCACATTTCACCCACAAAATATAGGCAATTCACTTTACAGCGTATTCTGCGAAGCGCTTTGAGAAATCTCGACGAAGTGATAAGGTGTTATAACAAATCCTAAGATTATTATATCCGGTGAGGGGTGGGGGGGGGGGGAGCTGGTATAGAGGGTATCCATGGTGAGGGGTGGGGGGGGAGCTGGTATAGAGGGTATCCATGGTGGGGGGGGTGGGGGGGAGCTGGTATAGAGGGTATCCATGGTGGGGGGGGGGGAGCTGGTATAGAGGGTATCCATGGTGGTGAGGGGGGGAGCTGGTATAGAGGGTATCCATGGTGGTGGGGGGGGGAGCTGGTATAGAGGGTATCCATGGTGGGGGTGAGGGGGGAGCTGGTATAGAGGGTATCCATGGTGGAGGGGGGGGGAGCTGGTATAGAGGGTATCCATGGTGGGGGGGGGGGTGGGGGGGGGAGCTGGTATAGAGGGTATCCATGGTGGGGGGGGGGGGGGGGGAGCTGGTATAGAGGGTATCCATGGTGGGGGGGGGGGGGGGAGCTGGTATAGAGGGTATCCATGGTGTGGGGGGGGGAGCTGGTATAGAGGGTATCCATGGTGGGGAAGGGGGGGGGGAGCTGGTATAGAGGGTATCCATGGTGGGGGGGGAGCTGGTATAGAGGGTATCCATGGTGTGTGGGGGGGGGGGGAGCTGGTATAGAGGGTATCCATGGTGGGGGGGGGGGGGAGCTGGTATAGAGGGTATCCATGGTGGGGGGGGGGGGGGGGGAGCTGGTATAGAGGGTATCCATGGTGTGGGGGTGGGGGGAGCTGGTATAGAGGGTATCCATGGTGGGGGGGGGGGGAGCTGGTATAGAGGGTATCCATGGTGGGGGGGGGGGAGCTGGTATAGAGGGTTTCCATGGTGGGGGGGGGGGGGGGAGCTGGTATAGAGGGTATCCATGGGGGGGGGGGGGGGAGCTGGTATAGAGGGTATCCATGGTGGGGGGGGGGGGAGCTGGTATAGAGGGTATCCATGGTGGGGGGGGGGGGGGAGCTGGTATAGAGGGTATCCATGGTGTGGGGGGGGGGGGGGGAGCTGGTATAGAGGGTATCCATGGTGGGGGGGGGGGGGGGAGCTGGTATAGAGGGTATCCATGGTGAGGGGGGGGGGGCTG